GAGTTATTTCTACCTTCTCCTCTCTGTCAACGCTCTCTGGTTTCATTTAAAAGAGTCAATCATCAGATATTGGCAAAGGCAGACATCTAATTGAATTCAAAAGCGATGAAGCCTTCTACAAAATGGACATGTTTTCAACACCAGAAAAGTTCTTTTCTCCATTATGAGCGAGATTTGAAAGTGCAGTTACATCTACTACAGTGCATTATGTAAGGAATAACTAGACTTTAAGGTTAACTGTCTACTACACTTAGAATAAAAAGAAAAAAAACATGGTCTATTAATAGCTTTCCAGAAAAAAAAAAAGCTGCTGGTCTTTTAACTGCAGATCCCCCCTCTTTCACAGCAACACTGTTCGATGTTGAGACAAAGTGGAAAACTGTGACCCTCTTTGACTCGATTTCCAAAAAAATGTTCCCTCTRCGCCCTGCGTGATTTCTTTCTGCTTCACAGTTCTCTGCAGTGTCCTTGTTCTGCAACTGCTGTACAGCAGCCCATCCTGCTCTGCCTCAGCACAATCCTGAATCAAACAATAGTCTCCTTTAAGCTAAGTCAGCTGTATTGTGTCACACTGCACATAGGGGAGGAGGACGTTGACATACTTTGCTGATTAAAAAAAAGTTTAAAATATGGCAACTTTTTTTAAACTGATCTTATGGAAACAGCTTTAAATTTTCTATTTTTTTTCTTTACGTTTTAAAATGGAATAAMAGAAAACATGAAACTAGATCTTCTGTTTCAGAGTGTTCTAACAGAATACTCTGAGGCTGAATAAAGAAAGTGTATTTGTTTATTTCAAGTTTATTCATTTAAAAACAAAATAAATTCTCTATACAATAAAAAATGCAAATCAAATTAAATTAAAGGCAGCAGAAAGATATGCCCCRTTTTTTACAAAAATGAATTCAAGCAATAATAATCGACTGAAGTTGTCTTAAAATATGCACTGCTTAATTAGGGTGCTAAACTCGCTTCATTGTTTAACACTGATTGTATCGTGTGCAATTAATCATCAGAAAAACATTAATTGATTATTTTTTGGCACTTGATGATTAATACGATTAATGACACCGGGCGGAGTCCTCTCCTCTCTGCGTCAAACATGGCCAACATTAAAAAAAAATAGTTATTTATCTACCAACACAATTTAAAATTTGATGTACAGCCTGAAGTCTGTAATTTTGACACAGTTTGGAACAGATTTTTCAAGAGCTAATCTTTCCCACTAAATTGGTCATGTGACCAGGACATAAGGGTGTCCATGGACTCCAGGGGATTAATTGTCAAATTAATCGTTATCGACTAAATACCACAATTAATCGTGATTAATTTTTTGGCCAATACTGCCTAACCCTACACTGTTCTCAGCATTGTTTTATCAGTGACAATAAAGCATATTCTATTCTATTCRATTCTATTAAGCTGGTACCAACTATTTACATTTACTCAGTTATTTTTGCTTGGGTCACCTTTGAAAAAAAAAAAACCTTTAGGGGTAATTGTGATGTACGTTTATATTTTTACTTGAGTAATATTATTGTGAAGTATCACGTTAAAGTGACGCCTCTTGTTCGTACTCATGCTTTGCAGTTTGAACGGTATTTTCCATCTGCCCAGCCCGATGTGCCATTTGTAGGTCGAATAATCTCATTTGTTTTGTTATTTATAATTATACTGAGCGTTTGACTCAGAACCACTCTTAAAATTGTCCCAGAGGAGCCCCCCCACCCCCACCCCACCCCCTCTCTGTAAATTCAGCACATCCTGTTTGTGGGTTCATAAGAGGGGCTATGTTGGGAAGCAGCTTTAATGCTGTATTCACGAGCACAGAGCCAGCCATCTTTTTTTTTCTTTTCTGCAGCTAATGAATCGCCGCTCGAAACAAACCTGCCTCCTCCTTGGAGCAACATCAGAGCGAAAGAGAAGAAGTAAAGAGAAAACCAGTTAAGAGCCAGGGAGTTAACCGCCAGCCGGATTATACCTCAGTGTGGATAAATATGTGTTCTGAGACAATATTGCGTGTCCATAGGAATGTGTGTAGGTGTGTATTTTTTTTTTCTTTTTTCATTCAGGAGGACCATCTGCCACTCTGCTCTGAGTGAAGTGTGAAAGCGAGCACCTGGCTGTGAGTCAGCGTTGCACGGCTCCCGGGAGAGCCTTCAGTTTAGAAAGCACTTAATACCCAGCCACACACTACACGCTCCAGTAAGAACACAGCGATGGAGAGGAATAATGAAGCTTTTACGACGGTGCAGCGGAGCAAGTTCGCATCCGCGAAAGAATGCGCAGCGTCCAAGCGATCCGCTGAGTGCTGGGCCGTTACCACAGAGATGAAAACGTGGAGCCAGTTAACCGTTCTTCAGCATCTGTTGTTAATTTAATGTCTTAAAAACGCTATCAGAATTCATCCCAGTCATCCTCATGTTGTTCCCTTTCTATGTGAAGTAAACCCAGCTAAAAGCAAACAACCTGCGTGACGTAAAGCTGACTCAGCTCGGCTCAGGTGTCCTTGAGTCGAGTCATTTCCAGCTGGAAGCAGATGTTTGGCAGCTGCAGTTTCACCTTGAACTCCCTGCTGGCCTAAAGCTGGAAGACAATCTCTCTGCAGAAATCAATAACGACATGTCAACCAGGACAAAAGCTGAATCATCTATTGTTAGAAATATGATTAGCAGAGCTATTTATTATACTTTTGACTCCTACATTACAGGTACGAGGTACAAAATATGCAATCTATTACATCAAACTGAGGATAGAGTCAGAATTGGTCAGAATGGTCTAAACACATTCTCACATTCCTGCTTTTTAAGATACATTTTGATACAGTACGTGAGAGATCCAGAGATATACTTTGATTTGTCTTCCTAATCAGAATAACTCATTGATATTTGGCGTAAATCCTATAATTAGGTTATTCTATGAGGAAAAAAAAGAGCAAACCTCTAAAATGAWACAGATGTTAAAATTTACCAGWTGGAAAGGGAAAAAAAGGCTTTGCTAGCTCACAGGAAAAGTGACAAAAACTGGAGGCATTCTGCTTAAAATTGTAATTTTTGTAGCTACTGGTTAAAAAAGGGGCATCAAAAGGTTATTTATAATTATATTTCAGATATTTCATTTAAACAACCCAAACATAAAAGGCATCATTATATTTTCACAAAAACGCAGTTGTTGTATACGTTTTAATCAGTGCACTYTAGCGGCCCATTTCTCCACACACCACTTTGGGACTTCCTCCTCTTTTCTGTCTGATCTTTGACACGAAATGCATTAAAATGTTCAAAAACCAAACGTACCCCTCGGCTGCATTCCTTACTGAGAGCGTTAACYCTGCAGCATCAGCACCAGTTCTTTCATGGGTTTTGTTTCATCATTCAAGCTGTATTCTGCTTTGCTACACGACCGGTTGAGGCCGGCAGCTCGAGAGCTACGATTCTGCCTCCTCC